TCTATAGATGTCTATATTCTGGACTTTAATACAATAATTAATAATAGGGAATCATATAAAATGTAGACTTTTGTGATTGGCTTCTTTTAACTCAGCATCATGTCTTCAGGCTCATGTAAGTTATAACACATAGTGATATTTTATTCATTTTAATGGCTGAATAATATTTCATTGTATGTATATGCCACAACATTTCATCCATTTGCCCATTAATGGACATTTGAGTTGTTTCTACCTTTTGACTATGATAAATAATGCTTCTATATAAATATTCATATTTATATATAAGTTTTTGTGTGGATATGTTTTCATTTCTCTTGGGTATATACCTAGGAGTAGAATTGCTGGGTTATACGGTAATTTTAAATTTAATCATTTAATGAACTCTCAGACTGTTTGCCAAAGTTGCTGCATTATTTTACATTTCCACTTGCAGTATATGAGGATTCCAGTTTCTCAACAACCTCAATAACACTTCTTATTATCTGACTTTTTAAAAAGATTTATTTATTTGAGAGAGCGAGCAAGTGTGGGGAGGAAATGCAGAAGGAGGGGGAGAGAAAATCTCAAGCTGAGTGTGGAGCCTGATGCGGGGCTTGATCCCACGACCCTGAGATCACAACCTGAGCCAAAACCAAGAACTGGATGCTTAACTGACTGCACACCCCGAGTGCTCCCTGACTTTTTTTTATTGTACCTATTCTAGTGGGTATCAACTGGTATATCATTTTGCTGTCGATTTCTTTATTTATTTGTCAGAGAGAAAGGGAGAGAAAGATAGAGAGCAAGCACAAGCTCCAGGCAGAGGGAAAAGCAGACTTCCCACATAGCAAGAAGCCTGATGCAGGGTTCGATCCCAGCACCCTGGAATCATGACCTGAGCCGAAGGCAGACACTTAACTGACTGTGCCACTGGGGTGCCCTCTCAAGATTTTTAAAAAGCATTCAAACATTTATACAGATCTATTAGATCACCCTCATTATTTGCATTATTCTCAGAAGTATTTTTAACTATGTTTTTTATAAACAATTTCATTTCTATGATCTCTCATTAGGTAAGCATGTGTATTCAGCCTTTCTACTATTATTCTGTAGTGTCCATTTCTCTTTGAAGATTCTCTATAGAGTTTTGTTAGTTTATGGTCTGTTCTGCATTTCTCCCATCCCCAAGCAATGTTCTCTCTCCCCACTTAAAAACGTTTTCATTTTCATTTTATACATATTTTTATGCTAATCCATGGTTGAAGATATATGTGTTATAGCCTCACAGTGGATTGCAAATCAGTGTAAAAATATTCCTCCTTGATTACTGCAACACTTGGGTGTTGTCTATATTAACATCATGTCTCCAAATTTCTTTTTGATATGACTCTAGTTTTCCTTTTACTTTCAACGATTCTGAGTCACTTTATTTTTAATGTGTCTGCTATATAGCATGAAACTGAGTTTGTTTTTAACCCAATCTGAGTTTTTAAAAAATTGATTAATTTATTCCAAAAATGTATATAGCGTTGTTTTGTTTTGTTTTCTTTCTAGCATGCCCCGCAGCAAGGGCGGTGTGGGGCTCAAACTCTCAACCACAAGATCAAGATCTGAGCTGAGATTAAGGGTCGGAGGCTTAACCAACTGAGTTGCCCAGGTGCCCCAATGTTTACATAGTCTCATATGTTCTCCATTCTCTATTTTATAGTATTTTTTTCCTTTTCAGATCTTATTTATTTATTTGGGGGAGAGAGAGAGACAGAACACGATCAGGGGGAGGGGAAGAGGGAGCCAGATGTGAGGCTTGACCCAGGTCCCTGGGATCAGAACCTGAGCTGAAGGCAGACACTTAAATGACTGAGCCACCCAGGCACCCGGTATTTTTTCTTTTGTTATAAATTTACTTTTTTTCTTTTTCCTTCCCTTTACTCTCCCGTGACTCCTATCATTTTTCTAAATATTTCAGATGTTTTAAACTTTAATTTTTTTAAATTCTTTTAGAAGTAACTTTTATAATTTAAAATACTATAATTTTACACATGTATTTCTTGATTTATCAACTTAGAAGATGAAATTTATCATCTTAAATTTATCTTTATCAACTTAAAAGATAAAAGCTCACTTACATTTCTTTTAGCCTGCCTTTCTTTCTGCCTGTCTCCTTGCTGGTTTTTCATTTTGTTTTTTTGCCTTGCTTCTTCTGTGTGGATGTCCGTACAATGTATTCTTTTTCTTTGAAGTTCAGTACTCTCACCTGTGTATGTCTGGGTGTTGATTACTATACACAGATTTTTCTCTAGGACTGGGTTATGTCCTTTTAAATTACAGGTTCAGTTTTCCTTAGATATCTTATTATTTTTTGTTGTCTTCTTTAGAGACACTAACAGTTATTACTATGTTAGACTTCCACTGTCATTCCTCAAATTATTTTTTCCAATTGCTTTCATTTCCTTTTTCTGTTACAATTCTTTTCCTTCAATTTGTTCTCTGACCCCCTAAATCTCTTTACCTCTTGTTATTACCTAAACTTTATTTAACACATTTCATGTCTTCTGTAATTATTCATGGCACAAAACATTCAGGAAAAACTTTCCTGTCTTATAGAATATGTTTTTACAGCTTGCAGTTCCACCTTTCTTTTGCCAAGTTATGTCTCTGACACTACCAATTGCTGAGCTGCAATTTTGTTTTTTCATCTTATTTGTTTTTATTGTGGTAAAAAACATCCAACATTAAATGTACCATCTTAACCATTTTTAAATACACAGTTCAGCAGTGTTAACTATATTCACACTGTGTGCCACAGAATTCTAGAACATCTTCATCTTGCAACATTAAACACCATATCCACTAAACACCAATTCTCTCTCTGCCCTCTCTACCAGCCCTGCGCAAATACTTCTCTGTTTCTAAAATTCTGACTACTTTAGATACATACTTCATAGATATGAAACACACAATATTGTCCTTTTGTGACTGGCTTATTTCACTTAGCACAATGTCTGTGAGTTCATCTATGTTGTAGCATGAGAGAGGACTGCCTTCATTTTTAAGGTTACACAATATTCTACTGGATGTATGTACCTCATTTTCTTTGTCCATTTGTCTGTTGATGGACATTTGGGTTGTTTCCGTAACTTGATTAATTGTAAATAATGCTGTGATGAACATAAGTATGCACATATCTCTGGGATTTGGTTTGAATTATTTTGGATACATACCCAGAAGTGGGATTGCTGAATCATGGTAATTCTATTTCAAATTCTTTGAGGAACCGTGATACTATTTTCCACAATGGCTGCAACACCATTATATTCACACCAACAGTGCACAAGAGTTCTAATTTCTCTGCATTGTTGGGACAACTGTTACTTTCTGTTCTTTTTGCTCACATCCTAATGGGGTATGGAGTGATATCTCATTGTGGTTTGTGATTTGCATTTCTCTGATGATTAGTGATTTTGAGCATCTTTTCATATGTTTGATGGCTAGTCATAAATCTTCTTAGGAAAACTCTATTCAAGTCCTTTGCCCATTTTTAAATTGGGTTTCTTTATTGTTGAATAATAGAAGTTCCACCTATAATCTAGATATTAACCAATAATCATGATTTGCAAATACTTTCTCCCCATTCCCTAGGCTGCCTTTTCATCCTGTTGTGCCCTCTAAGGCAGTTTTCAATTCTGAGTAGTATAATTCATTTATTTTTGCTTTTGTTGCCCTGCGCTTTTGGTGTCAAATCCAAGAAATCCTTGTCAAATCAAATGTCATGAAGCTTTTTCCCTTGTTTTCTTCTAAAAGTTTTTTAATTTAGCGGTTATACTTGATCTTTCATCTATTTCGAGTTAATTTTTGTATACGGTAAAAAGCAAGAGTTCACAACTTCATTCCTTTGCACGTGGATGCCCAGTTTTCTAACACCATTTGTTGAAGTGTACTTTCTCCACTGTGTAGTCTTGGCACCCTGTGGAGAATCATTTATCTTATCTATTGATCTTGATGTGAAGTAGCTGCAACTGGACTATACTCAAAATACAAATACGAATAGATCAGCTCTTTGACTTCTTTCCTTATCTAGGTATGTTCTATCTTCCTCTAAGAGGTAAAGTTTGACACCTAGGTAGTAATGACTTATGCTCTTTTTTTCTTTTTTTAAAGATTTTATTTATTTATATGAGAGAAAGAGAAAGAGCACGAGAAAGGGAGGGGCAGAGGGAGAAGCAGACTCCCTGCTTAGCAGGGAGCCTGATGCAGGACTCGATTCCAGGACTCCAGGATCATGACCTGAGCCAAAGGCAGTTGCTTAACCCACTGAGCCACCCAGGCACCCAGTAATGACTTATGTTCTACATGTTCTTTTATGTTAGAAATAGGGGGCCATGGGTAAACATGGCCTTTTACTTGGCTTTTACTACATATTTTTTTTAAGTCTGTATTGAGGCTCTTTTAGTCTTTATCACAGTCTTCTGAAATGCCTTCAGATTTTAGGTTTTCCCGTTTTAGTAGTGAGACATGATACTTCTATTATTATCAGCCTTAATTTAAGTATTTACTTGTAATCCTGTTTCTAAGTTCACAAATCTTTTCCCAGAGGTTACAATTATTTTACATAATAAAGTGATTTGCATGAGAAAGCAGGAAAAAAAGAAGAAAAAGAAATATGGATCTCTATTTAAATTGTGAGGGAACATTATCATCAGAATAAAATGAGGGAGCGCCTGGGTGGCTCAGTCAGTTGAGCATCTGACTCTTGCTTTTGGCTTGAGTCATGACCTCAGAGTCCTGGGACTGAGCTCCACATTGGGCTCCACGTTCAGTGGGGAATCTGCTTGAGGATTCTCTCTCTTCCTCTGCCCCTCCCACTGCTCCCACTCACTCTCACTCTCTCAAATAAATAAATCTTAAAAAAAAAAAAAAAGAATAAAATGGAAACACACAGACACAGACCTTGTCTTTCTCCTTCACTCTGTCACTCCCTTTGTAATCCCTTCCCCACCCCCCTGCCCCAATCCCATTACCTGCAATATCTATCTGGAAGGATTCTTTTTCTTTTGTCCAGGCTTCCTTAGGAACTCTTCTCTTAGTAAGGCTCTCCTCTTTCTGTTTAACATCTTCAGTGTCTGGTAGACTTTCAGTCTTTGTGTCTTGCAGTCTAGCTGAGTGCTCTGCAGCTGCAACACCATCAGAACCTGAGAGAGGTAAATTAACACAGTAGCCAGACAAGAGGTTGACAAGAAGTATTTTAAAATACCTCTCAAGCATCTAACAGGTGAAAGGCACTGTTACTGGTATTGACCCCCCAAAAAATATATAAATAAAAAGACCATTTAGAAATGTGTTTAGAAACTATTGTTCCAAATTGGAGTTAAAAAATAGACAGAAACATGGGGCGCCTGGGTGACTCTTGATTCTGGCTCAGGTCAGGATCTCAGGCTTTTGGGACTGAGCCCCACACTGGGCTCCAGGCTCAGCCGGGGAGTCTGCTTAAAAATTCTCTCCCTCGCCCCCCCCCCCCGCCTCAATCTCATGTGCATGCACCCTTTCTCTCTAAAATAAATAAATTAAAAATATACAAAAACAGATGCCATACAAAGTAAAAGAATTACTGCCTAAGAGAAAGAAGTATATGTACTCAAAAAAGGATAAACTACTTCTAGCTCAGAGGATCATGAAAGAAATCTAGAGTAAAATAACAACTGACTTGGGTGTTAGAGGATAGCTAAGCTGGGGGGCGCCTGGGTGGCTCAGGTGGTTTAGTGGCTGCCTTCGGCTCAGGTCATGATCCCAGGATCCTGGGATTGAGCCCTGCATCAGGCTCCCTGCTCAGCAGAGAGCCTGCTTCTCCCTCCCCTCTGCCTGCCTATCTACCTACTTGTGCTCTGTCAAATAAATAAATTTAAAAAAATCTTAAAAAAAAAAAGAAGATAGCTAAATGGGATAAACACTGAGACAGAAAGACAAAAGGCATTTTAGGCAAAGGTCACTGCACACAAAAACAAGAGAGTCAGGAAAGCAAATAAACATCGAAGAAACAGAGCAAGTGTATGGTTTGAGTACAGAATTTATAAGAAAAAAAGGTACCTAAAAAGTTGTTTGGGAGCTGATTTTCCTGTTCTGAAAGACTGTACTAAAAGAGTTTAGATTTTATTCTTAAGGGCTTTGAAAACTTTCTGATTGTGAGATTAACAGGATCTGTTACTAGAACATTCATTTAGGAACCGCAAAAAGGGGGGTAAAATTTTGAAATGTTGCCCAGAATACAATATAACTTGTGAGAACAAGCAATACACACACAAAAAAGAAGTGGCTAATTATGCTCCAAAATGTTTCTATTTATAATATTGTCAGAGACTACCAGCTGTCCTCTGAAATCCATTTTCCTTTCCTCTAAAATAAACCCCTGACAATAGACAGGCTGAGGGGATCCTGTGTCCTTCAAATTCCTCCCAGTGAGTTCTTCATGAGCACAGAAGCTCGTTTCCAGCCATTAACTAGTTCACAATCTGAAGCAGAAGCAATTACAGGCAACCAGTGTCCCTAGTCCTATCCTAGGCCACTGAATAATGCCCCAAAGAGCAACCCCAGCCATCAGCCCTTGGAAATAATTCTTAAGAAGGAACTCGTGTCAAAACAGTAAAATGAAGAATCAACAAAACAAAACAAAAACAAAACCAATTAGTTTTGGAAGATTTCGATTTGGTCGGCTGCTGGGTTAAAGCAATTTTGATAATGTTTATTCGGGGAGAGAAAAAGCAAGTGTATCCTAGCTCTTAAAGTCTCTCTTAACGCTCAACTGGAGAAAGTAAGAGCTAAGTATCAGCTGAGAAGCAGAAATCCAATCCCACCTTAGACATCCAAATATTTTCAGACTGTATGGTTACTTCCATGGTGCCACTAGTTTACCCAATTCTAGACTATGCCCCTCTTACACCTGTCTAAGGAGAACTTCACAAACTGTCAGTCTGATGAGCAGAGGATTGCTACGCTTCTACAACAGGACTGGCAAATGCCCTGTCTTAACGTCATTCAAAGAGAGTTATTCATGGAGACATTAAGCCAGAGAACCCACTTCTTGAATCAACTAGAGAGCTTAGGATTACCGATTTTGGGGAGCTGGTTTATGTCCCCATCCTCTAGAACCACCCACTTACTGTAGCACCCTTGACCACCTGCCCCCTGAGATGATTAAGGGCCAAATGCATGCTGAGAAGTGAATCTCTGGAGCCTTAGTGTTCTTTGTTATAAATTTCTAGTTGGGAAGACTCCTTCTGATGCAAGCACATACCAAGATACCTAAAAAACATATCCTAGACTGAATTCCGATTCTCTGACTTTGTATAAGAGGGAGCCGGAGATTTCTTTACAAGACAGGTAAAACATAACCCTAACCGAAGGCTGATTCTCAAAAAAATGCCAGAATACCCCTGGATCACAGCAAACTCATGGAAATCATCTAGCTGGCAAAAAAGGCAAAGATTTGGGGCGCCTGGGTGGCTCAGTGGGTTAATCCTCTGCCTTCGGCTCAGGTCATGTTCTCAGGGTCCTGGGATCAAGCCCCGCATCCAGCTCTCTGCTCAGAAGGGAGCCTGCTTCCTCCCTCTCTCTCTGCCTGCCTCTCTGACTACTTGTGATCTCTTGTCTGTCAAATAAATAAATAAAATCTTAAAAAAAAAAAGGCAAAGATTCAACTTTGAAGATGAATCTTATAGGGAGGGGCTCGTGGCTGGCTCAGTCAGTAGATCATGGGACTCTTGATCTCAGGGTTATAAGTTCCAGCTGCACACTGGGCTGCTGTATAATCTGTCAGGAACAGGTTACTGACACTTACCTTACTGCTGCCTGCCTACAATCTAAAGCACTACAGAGTTGTGTTTTTTGTTTTACTGAGCAGGCAGTACTTTGGTCTCCCTACTCAGAAAGTTTCACTTCAGTAGACATGACACTCTGAAATGAAAGAACCCGCAGCCTCCTGCTAACTTCACTTTCATAATCTGGAGACAAGGTTCAATTGCAGCCACCCCACAGCATGTTCGGAGTACGGTGTCCTTGTGGAAGATGGAGCCGGGGTCCAACTGGGGGTTTGCTCCATCTTGATCAGTTAAAGAGCCAGACAATAACCTTCCAAGTAACTAAGGGTGTGTGTTACCTACTGGGTGGCCAGGCTTGGTAAAGCTGTCAGAATGAACATGTGATTCGTTCTTTCACGTGCAAAAATGAAGATTTTTGTATTAAAAAAAAAAAAAAACCAGAACCTTGACTTCACTGGGCATATGGTTATCAGAATAGATACTATATTTCCCAGCCTTCTGGCAACATAGCTTAGTATGAACATGTGACTAAGTCTGGCCAATAGAATGGAAGAGGAATGGTACATGTAACTTTTGAGAAGTATTTAAAGAAGGAATATACTTTCTTCTTTCCCTTTCTTCCTTTGTGCTGGCTCGAATACAGGCCTAATAGCTACTGCAGGAGAATGGAAGCTAAAAATGTTGGAGCAACAGGAGAGAAAGAGCTTTGTTCCTTGATACACTGAAGTCTACACCTGGATTTTTACAAGAAAGAGAAATAATTTCCTGTCTTCTTTAAGACAATGTTACTTTGTTTTTATTTTCATCTCTCAGAGCCAAAACAAATCCTATTTTTTTTTTAACAAATCCTAACTTTAACACGTTATTATAGTCTTTTTTAATTAGCATAATCCCACTGAAGTAAATTAACCCGATAGGTACTTAAGAAGTAAACAAGCTGAATTCCTAGAGAAAAAGGTTTATGTACAACAATAGTATTAAAGAGTAAGCATCTGGGACTCCTGGGTGGCTCAGTGGGTTAAGCTTCTGCCTTCGGCTCAGGTCATGATCTCAGGGTCCTGGGATGGAGTCCCACATCGGGCTCTCTGCTCGGCGGGGAGCCTGCTTCCCCTCTCTCTCTGTGTCAAATAAATAAATAAATAAATAAATAAAATCTAAAAAAAAAGAAAAAAGAGTAAGCATCTTGTGGAACTGAATTTTTTTTCTTTCTTTTTTTTTAAAGATTTTATTTATTTATTTGACAGACAGAGATCACAAGTAGGCAGAGAGGCAGGCAGAGAGAGAGGAAGTAGGCTCCCCGCGGAGCTGAGAGCCTGATGCAGGGCTCGATCCAAGGACCCTGGGATCATGACCTGAGCTGAAGGCAGAGGCTTTAACCCACTGAGCCATCCAGGCACCCCGGAACTGAATTTTCTCAGTAAAATCCATTATGTGAATTTCTGGCAATGAGATTAACTTGTGTACTATAGTCACAAAGTTGTCCAGAAATGTCTTAAAGAGCTTTAAAAATGTTAATTTTACCTGGCAATCTACACCAAAAAAATTGCAGCTAATATCCTATTTCACATATGAGCAAGACAGTGAAAGGCTGAAGACAGTAAGGGAACAGAAAATACTTTTTTGTTTCTACTCATTTTAGAAGGCCAGAAGAAATAATACACAGATAATCCAGCTCGGTTACCTTCAGTGGTTTTCTGCAAGGGTTCTTTTTCTTCAGGTTGGGCAGCCTGAGTCACTGCATTTTTATTGTAGATCTCCTTTTTCTGGTTTTTATCTGAAATGTCCTCATCCCCAATGATGGAAACTTGAACTTGGGCATCTGGAATAATGACATCACACAATTCCATAGAGAAGGAAAGGACAATAAACAAAATAGGCAAGTAACCGCCATCCCCCCTCAAAAAGTCCAAACAAAACCCCAAACCTCTTTATATATTAAGAAAAAAAAGCATCTCCTAGGCCCCATCACAGCTTTTAAGTTGTGACAATTATGGTGGGTTTACAACATAAATTGGAAAGCTCTTCCTATTTTTCTGTGTACAATGATGGTTTAAATAAAATACCACTTTATTTTTAATTTAAATTCAATTAATTAACATATAATGTATTACTGATTTCAGAGGTACAGGCCTATGATTCATCAGTCTTACATAACATCTAGTGCTCATTTTATCACATGCCCTCCTTAATGCCCATCACCCAATTATCCCCTCCCACCACCCCCCTACCCTCTCCAGCAACCCTCAGTTTGTTTCCTATGATTTAAGAGTCTCTTATGGCTTATCTCCCTCTCTAGTTTCATCTTGTTTTATTTTCTCCTCTCTTCTCCTATGATCCTCTGTTTTATTTCTTAAATTCCACATACGAGATCATATGATAAGATCATATGGTAACTGTCTTTCTCTGACTGACTTATTTCACTAAGCATAATACCCTCTAGTTCCAACCACATTGTTGTAAGTGGCAAGATTTCATTATTTTAATGGCTGAGCAGTATTTCATTCTCTCTCTATGTACCACATCTTCTTTATCCATTCATCTGTCGATGGACATCTGGGCTCTTTCCACAGTTTGGCTATTGTGGACACTGTTGCTATAAACACTGGAGCGCAGGTGCCCCTTCGGATCACTACATTTATATCTTTTTTTTTTTTTTAAGATTTTATTTATTTATTTGACAGAGAGAGAGAGAGAGAGAGAGAGAGCGCACAAGCAGGCAGAGTGGCAGGCAGAGGGAGAGAGAGAAGCAGGCTCCCCGCTGAGCAAGGAGCCAGATTCGGGACTTGATCCCAGGACCCTGGGATCATGATCTGAACCGAAGTAGCTGCTTAATGGACTGAGCAACCCAGGCGTCCCTTTAAATTTGTATCTTTGGGGTAAATACCCAGTAGTGCAAATGCTGGATTGTAGGGTAGCTCTATTTTCAACTTTTTGAGGAACCTCCGTATTGTTTTCCAGAGTGGCTGCACCAGCTTGCATTCCCACCAACAGTATGCGGGGGGGGGGGGGGGGGGGGGGTGTCTCCTTTCTCCACATCCTTGCCAACATCTGTCATTTCCTAACTTGTTAATTCTAGCCTAACATACCACTGTTCTTTAAATGAAATCTGTTCTTTACTGGTTTGACACAATAGTTAAAAAAAAAAAAATCAATTGTCTTTTTCAAAGTAAAAAAGGAATGTGAATAACTCTTTTGAGTTCTTTGGTTTATTCAAAGTTTTTGTCACTTACGGAGCCAATTTTGATTTTCGTATCATCCTAGAAAAGCATTTGTACCATCAAAATTTTATGTATAATACTCTTGTGACTTCAAAAACCTCCTGAAATTATATCCTTTTAAAACTGCCTTATATTTTCTACTTTCTTTCTGTTTTTCTTGGTCATATTTGCCAGAGATTTATCTATCTTATTGGTTTTTTTTTTTAAAATCAGCTCTTTTCTTTCTTATATGAGAAAACTCAAGTGTAAAATAATATATTACTAAGTATATTAAAAAGTCACCAATAGGGGCGCCTGGGTGGCTCAGTGGGTTAAAGCCTCTGCCTTCGGCTCAGATCATCATGATCCTGGGGTCCTGGGATCTGAGCTCACATTCAGCTTTCTGCTCAGCAGGGAGCCTGCTTCCTTCTCTCTCTCTGCCTGCCTCTCTGCCTACTTGTGATCTCTGTCAAATAAATAAATAAATAAATAAATAAATAAATAAATAAATAAATAAAATCTTTAACAAAAAAGTCACCAATAAAGCAACTAGGATAACAGTTAACAATGTTTATGTTTTTACAATGGGTCAAAAAGAGGTTCAGCTCTTCCTAAGTATGAATATTTTTCAACAAAGAAATCAGAAAAGCAATAGAGATTACTAAAGATATAATGTGTCTATCAAAGAGCTGAAGAAATAAAACATTACAGATATGATTCCGTGTGTAAAGGCTCAGAGATGCTACTTTCTGTCTTTTCAGTAGCAACTTTTATGCTGAATTTAGCGTTTATCAATTCCAAGGATGTTTCCGAATTTTTTTTTGCTTTATTGCATGTATTAATCAACAATAGTACCCAGACTGGAATACAGAGCTATCCTATGCTTTAAAAATTGCCCTGGAATCAGCAGCACCTATTTAGCTAACAGCCATGCACAGGAACTAAAAACAGTAAATGGAATAAAGCAACACAGGTAATTATACATGTAGAATTTTCAGTGGCCACTGGAGTCTCCTCCCCCCTTCTTAAAGATTTTATTTATTTATTTGACAGACAGAGATCACAAGTAGGCAGAGAGGCAGGCAGAGAGAGAGGAGGAAGCAGGCTCCCCGCTGAGCCGAGAGCCTGATGGGGGGCTCGATCCCAGGACCCTGGGATCACGATCGGAGCCGAAGGCAGAGGTTTTAACCCACTGAGCCACCCAGGTGCCCCTGGAGTCTCCCTTTAATAAATACAATCATGTGTCAGCTAGGGAAGTACAATGTCAGGGACGCAGAGGAAAAAAAAAAACAGAGCAGGTCTCTAAAGATTAAAAAGTTTCATAAAACAGTGGGGCCTATATCTGGGGATAGGGTTGAAAGCTCAAATACCCATAGTGACCAGGATAAGGTGGATGAATGAAACAGACTGGCTCTGAGAAGTGTGGGGACCTGAAGCAAACACAAGAACGTACATCTTCTCTGCAGGGAAGACCCATGCATCAGGGGCAGGTGATTACTGTCATGGTGGAATGCAAGCTGAGCGCAACCAGATATTCTGATTTTCAAGGGAAGTACAAAATCTTATTTTCAAACGTTGGCAGCAGAATGAAAAGAAAATTTAAAATACCACGTGAACCATCTACTTTCTTGCAAAATCCAATCTATGAAAATACTAGTTTGTACCATCAGATAAATTCATGAAGCAAATTTAATCAAGATTTTCTACAGATTTGTTTCTGAAACATACCTGACTAGGTATTATTTCATGTCAAAAGTTGCAGTATATTTTATTTCCCACAGTGAAAATAAATAGGTCTAAGAAATCTGTGAAGTATTTTAGAAGATTTTGTAAATATTTTACCTTCTTGTTTACACCCAATGAAATAGCTAGGAGAAAAGCTTGTGTAACACCAGAAATAAGATAAAGATTAGACAACATTCTCACTTAGAATAACCAGGGAAAAAAAGGCCACAAAATATGCAAAGCCAATTCAGTTACCTGCATTATCTTTCTGAGGAGATTTTGCCCCCAGTGGCAAGGTTGTCTTAGCCACCGCCCTCTTACTGTAGATTCCCTCTTTATGTTTAAGGTTATCAGTGACTAGTAGGTCGTCATCCCTTGTGCCTAGTACCTCCGCCGGGAAGTCTGGAGCAATGGCATCATTGGATCCTACAGAAAAGTGGGAAACTAGTACAATTAATACAAGTTGAAGTTGAAGAAAGACAAAAAGTTTACCTCTTAAACTGCTTCTATTAAAAAGGTACGACAGGGTGCCTGGGTGGCTCAGTGGGTTAAGCCTCTGCCTTCGGCTCAGGTCATGATCCCAGGGTCCTTGAATCAAGTCCCGCATCAGGCTCTCTGCTTGGCAGGGAGCCTGCTTCCTTCTCTCTCTCTGCCTGCCTCTCTGCCTACTTGTGATCTCGCTCTGTCAAATAAATAAATAAAATCTTTAAAAAAAAAAAAAGGTACGACAATAGGAGTGTTGTAATGTGACCAGAAGGCGATGTCAGTCAAAATGAAGCTGTCAGACATGTATAATAAACTGCAACAATACACAGTGAAGAAGCTAATGACAGAAAATATAGAGTATCAGCTCCGAAGAAAGACAATTTCCAGTTCAGGAAGGTTTTCAAAGAAAGGAGAATACAGACTATAACTTGGAAAATAAGTAGGCTTTTTGAACTATGCAGAGGAAGACAGACATTTTAGGAAGAGGTGAAGCATGAACAAAGACAGGGAAACAGGAAAGCAAAAAGTATGCAAGAACAGCAGCTACTTTGTGATCAGGTCAGATCATAGAACACATTAAAGAAAGTGGTGGGAGGGCGCCTGGGTGGCTCAGTGGGTTAAAGCCTCTGCCTTCGATTCAGGTCATGATCCCAGGGTCCTGGGATCGAGCCCCGCATCGGGCTCTCTGCTCAGCAGGGAGCCTGCTTCTCCCCTCTCTCTCTCTGCCTGCCTCTCTGCCTGCTTGTCATCTCTGTCAAATAAATAAATAAAATCTTAAAAAAAGAAAAAAAAAGAAAGTGGTGGGACATATTAAAAAATTATTGTTTGGGGCAAAATTCAGCAGAGCATGGAATCCCAAGCTATAGAGCACAAATTTTATTGTACATGAAATGTAACATCATTAAAAAATTTTTAATAAAGGGAAAATATAATCAGCCATGTTTTAGGACGATTAATCTGATAATAATATAAGATACAAAACACTGAAAGAAAAGTAATGTGATAAAGAAATACAAGATTGGAAAGTAATTTTACCTTCTTTTGAAACACATTTCAATATTCCTACATCCACTGGTAAGAAAAGTTTATCCATGCCATAAAAAAGAGGTGAAGAACATTTCTGAGCACCTGAACTTTGTATGGCAATAAAAGCTCAGTATCAGTCTCATTAGTACAGTGCCAGGGTAGGTAAGTCATGAAGGACTTTTCTAGACAGATTGCAAGGATCCTACTAAGCCTGCTGGGTCATATGTACAGATTAAATTGGGCTTTTCGTCAGCTGCTGTGGCATCACTCTCTCTTGCTTCCTATCTCTCTGGCAAACCCTTAGTATCTCTCCTTCTACCAAATCTCTCAGCATAGGAGCTCCTCCAGGGGTCAGAACTCTTTTGACTTCCTGAGTGGACTCATCAATTATCAATGGATTGAACACTATCTATCTATATGCTGATGACCAACAAATATGTATCTCTGGCTGAGATCTTTCTTTTGAGCTTCAGATTCTAGCATTCAAGACACAGCTAGTCCTTACAGCATCTTTTGAAGAAATTAGAAAAAGGTGTCCCTTTCTTAATTAAACAAATTAAGATATTATATATTATGGTTCAACATAACAACTGTACACGGGGATCATTCTCCTCACAAATACTTCCAGATACCAGAGAACACACTCCACCAGCAACCAGCACATGCATACTCTTCACCATCACCCCCCTTTGTTCTCCAAGAGAGGGGAGTACGTCAGGTTCATAGTCAGGTGGGGAACAGTAAGTCCCTGAGAATAGTGGTGCATAGCAACGAGAAGCAAGTCTGTGGAGCTGAGAGGCAACTGAAAGCCCATCTAGCCAAATGGATGTGCGAATGCCCACAAGTGTATGTGTACTTATTTTGCCTCATCCAAGCACAACTGTGGGACTTCTAAGTATAGATTTTTGTTTGGGGCAAGAAGAGAGTTAACATTGCTTCAGAACTCTAGCTGGAGATCTGCAACCTTCATACTCACCTATGTATTTTCATAAAAAACAGCATATATCTCTATGATGTTAGTAACACAACCTTTTATGTGGCACCCTTGCATATAACCTTAAATGTGTAAATCAACTCTGTTTATGGTCAATAGCCTTCTGACTAACTGGTGTTCTCGCCTTCACACTTCTAGAATCCTCACCTTGGCTCCCTGCCTTCCCACCTATGAAGTGGTTCTCCATCTCGCAGCCAGGTAAATTTTGCAAATGTAAATGAAACCACAGTTGCCTACTAGAATAAAATACAAATGTTTTAGTATGGTTTACAAGACATTAAATGATCTTGGGCCTACCCATCTAACCGTATCTAGCCACCATTCTGCTCCAACCATACTGCATTCTCATTTGTCAAATACATCAAGCTCTTTCCTGTTTCAGGAGCTTTGCCCATTCTGTCACTCTCTACTCTTTGCCTACCTAACCCACCTTTATCTTACAGACCTCATCTCTAAAGTTTTTTTCCTTGAAAAGGCCTTCAGGAGCTCCTAAAACTAAACTGGGTACTCTTATTATTCTCATCCAATTCTACTTTATTTTATTAACACTTACCATTTGTAATTATGTACTTATTTGTGGTCTATTTGTTTACTATCTGTAACAACATTCCACATACTCCATAAACTTGGGACCATGTTTATTTTGCCTCTGTAAATGTAGCACCTAGTATAGCATCTGCCAGGAACACAGTAAGAGCTTTAATACTTTTGGGTTGAAGAAACAATGAACATGAACTGAAAGCTTTTTGTCACCTTAAGAAAAACAAAACAACCAAACTTTGGTTTTATATGCTTTGGAATGAATATACACAGGGAATGCAACGTATGTAGTTTCCTATCTGTTTTTCTCCCCCCCACTCAATTCAAGATAAATTTTACATGGAATCTAGAGTTTAAAGTCAGCATATAAAATGAAAAACCATACAGCACTGAAATTACCCCACGAAGGTTCAAGAAGGTACCATGTTGAAACTGACATCCCATTGGCTCAACAAATCCACCTGAGAGTACTTTCTCCTTTCGGCTCGCAGCGAATCACTGTGCCTGTTTCTGAGCACCTGATGAAGCACCTGGCTTATGTTTAGAAGCCATGTTGTAACAAAAAGACACTTTAGTTCTAGAATCATTCTCAGGGAATCAAGATAAGCTGTTTAAACTATTATAAAAGGAAAATGAGGACAGTAAAGTTTGAGAAAAGAGGTTTCCCATCACCCATTTCAAATCCATCACAGTATGTTCACAGAGTATACAGACTGCACACAACTCTTGCACCTTTTTGAAGATTTTATTTTTAAGTAATCTCACACCCAACCTGGGGCCTGAACCCACAACCCAGAAATCAAGAGTTGCACGCTCCACTGACCGTGCAACTGAGGGCACCCCAACTCTTGCCCTTTTAGCATATGTCTGTGCTGAAAGACATGCGCTTTCTCTTTTTTGTTAAATATATGTATTTGAACATGCTTAAGTTAAACACATGTATGACAAAATGCCAATGTATGCTAAATTTGTCATAGCTAAAAAGATTTCATTATAATCTATTCATTTGAGTTTACGCTATCTTAAAGTTTGTTTCCTGCTTTGTTCTTTTTTTTTTTTTGAAGATTTTATTTATTTATTTAAAGATTTTATTTATTTGACACACAGAGAGAGATCACCAGTAGGCAGAGAGGCAGGCAGAGAAAGAGGGGGAAGCAGGCTCCCTGCTGAGCAGAGAGCCTGATGCGGGACTTGATCCCAGGACCCTGAGATCATGACCTGAGCTGAAGACAGAGGCTTAACCCACTGAGCCACCCAGACACCCTTTATTTTTTTGTCAGAGAGAGCAAGCAAGCAAGTACACAAGCAGGGGGAGTGGCTAGCAGAGAGAGAAGCAGGTGCCCCACTGAGCCCGATGTGGGACTCAATCCCAGGACCCTGGGATCATGACCTGAGCTGAAGGCAGTCAGTCAACCAACTGAGCCACCCAGGCATCCCTTCTGTTCTTGTTCTGTTATTTTGCTAATTTTGTACACTCAACAGTAATCTGGAAGATAGATATCAAGTTTAAAAATTCTATTAGAGGGGCATCTGGGTGGCTCAGTTGGTTGGGCAACTGCCTTCGGCTTGGTCATGATCCCAGAGTCCCAGAACGGAGTCCTGGGTCCCCGTCTCCCGTCGGGCTCCCCGCTCAGCGGGAAGTCTGGTTCTCCCTCTGACCCTCCCTTCTCTTGTGCTCTTTCTCATTGTCTTTCAAACAAATAAATAAAATCTTAAAAAAAATTCAATTAGAGTTTTTCCAGTAGTATTTTTTTAAGAATTTTTTATTGGGGTAAAATATACATAAAATTTGCCACTGTAACCATTTTTAAGTGTACAGTTCAGTGGTTTTAAGTACATTCACACTGATGTGCAACCATCATATCATACATCTCCAGAATTCACACATTTTCACAAACCAAAACTGTACCTATTAAATGGTAATTCCCTTTTCCTCCTCCCTTCAACCCTTGATAACCACTGTCCTACTTTGTTTCTATGAATTTGACTACTCTAGGTACCTCATATAAGTGAAATCTTAGAATATTTGTCCCTTTGTGATTAGCTTATTCACTTAGCACAGTATCTTCAGCGTTCATCAACAATATAGCATGTGCCAAATTTCACCCTCTTTAAGGCTGAATAATAATATCCCACTGCATATATGTATCACATTTTATGTATTTATTCATCAGCTGATAGACATTTGAGTTGTATCCACATTTTGGCTATTGTGAATAATGTTGCTATGAACATGAGCACACAAACATTTATTCAAATCCCTGCATTCAATTCTTTTGGGTATATGTTAGATCATATAGTAATTCCATGTTAAACATTTTTAATTTTTTTTTTTTTTTTTTTGAGAGAGAGAGAGCATGTGCACAGTGGGGGAAAGAGG